GAGTCAGATTCAGCTGCATCAGAGGGCGGGTCTGTTGTGGTCAAGAACGAACCCGTTGGCGCTTCAATGAATGTCGACGCCAATTCTGAGTCAAACAATGACTCTGATGACGGAAGTTCTTACGAGGCGTCGAATGACGAGGGATCCGTAGAACAATCAGATGATGAGGGATCTGTAGAACACTCTGATGACGACGAGCCGCTGGTCAAAATAGCTACTCCTCGAAAGCGCACTGCCAGACCAGCGATAGAGCAGGCAGAAAAGCGCATGCGGGTGTTGACGGCAGTCGAGATGATGCCGGTGGCTGGAGACTTTCAGATTGTTATTAGCCCGGATGCGTATCGGCGCATTGTGCCCGAGACAAACGCCGAGGAGGCGGTGGGTCGGGTCAAGCAGGCAAAGATGCCGCGGCGCAAGAAAGACGGGACAAAGTCGCGCAAAGAGACGCTGGAGGGCGACATGACAGATGACGAGGCGCAAAATGACGGCGTTGATGTGCGCGATTTGCCAATGACCGACATTGACTACAGCCGGTACAAGCGTCTGTTCACCAATCATCCCCACTTGCAACACGCATGGAGCTCACTACCAGCGCCGCGCACGCCAACAAAGATAGCGCAGCCAGCAGCGCTGAAGATCAAACTACTGCCGTTCCAGCAGGAGGGCGTGCAGTGGATGAGCGAGCAGGAGAACACACAGTTTCGCGGCGGGATCTTGGCTGACGAGATGGGCATGGGAAAGACGCTGCAGACGATTGCGCTGATTCTGGTCAATCGCGGCAGACCGACGCTGGTGGTGTGTCCGACGGTGGCACTGCTGCAGTGGAAGGCTGAGATCGAAGCAGCGACTGATGCGCTGTCGGTGCTTGTGTTTTATGGCAACGACCGCAAGAAGCTCAGCGGCGATCAGGACACAGTCAATGCAGAGGAGCTTGAAAAGTACGACGTGGTGCTGACGACATATGGCGTGATGGAGAGCGCGTTCCGACGTGAGAACGCAGGGTTCCGGCGCAACGGCGAGCTGCACTACGAAAAGTCAGTGCTGCACATGATCTACTGGCACCGCGTGGTGCTCGACGAGGCGCATTACCTCAAAGACCGGTCCAGCAACACGTCGCGTGCGGCATTTGCTCTAAATCCACAGCACACGTGGTCCCTGACAGGGACGCCCCTGCATAACCGTGTGGGTGAGCTGTACGCGCTGATTCGGCTGACCAAGTCAGACCCGTTCTGCATGTACTTTTGCCACTCGTGCGAGTGCGCGTCGCTGCAGTGGCAGTTCCGCATGTCCAAGCACTGCTTTGGGTGCGGGTGCAAGCACACGGTGCACTTTTCGTACTGGAACATGCATGTGCTCAAGCCGATCCAGGACAACCCGGTGCGCAGCGCAGAGAGCCAGATGGGATTTGTAAAGCTGGGTCGGCTGTTGGACAATGTGATGCTGCGGCGCACCAAAATCGAGCGTGCCGACGACATGGGACTGCCTCCGCGTGTGGTGGTGACGCGACGCGACCGCTTCAGCCACGAGGAAGAAGACCTGTACATGTCGCTGTTTTCAAACTACCAGCGCGAGTTTGACACGTACGCGATGCACGGCACGATCCTGAACAACTATGCAAACATCTTTGAACTGATCACGCGCATGCGGCTGGCAGCCAACCACCCTGATCTGCTGAAGCTTAAGCTCAACCCTGCAGACCGTCTGGGGTCTGACTCGCGTGACACGCTTGTGTGCGCGATCTGCAACGAAGAGGCTGAAGACCCGATTGTTGCACGCTGCAAACATGTATTTTGCCGCATGGACGCCCAAGTGTATGTGAACGGAGCCGGTGACGATGCGGCGATGCTGCGGTGTCCCACATGCTTTGCGCAGTTTGACATTGACTTAATTCAGCCTGAGATGAAGAAACCGGCTGCGCAGACGACTGTAGGCGCGATGGCCACGCTGATGGAGTCGATGGTGACGACACCAGCGACGAGCGAATACCGGCGATCAATTGTCAACCGAATTGACATGCGCACCTGGCGGTCGTCGACCAAGATTGAGGCATTAGTGGAAGAACTGTCGCGGCTGCGCCAGGGCGATGCGACCATCAAGAGCATTGTGTTTTCGCAGTTTGTCAACTTTCTGGATCTAATTCAATGGCGTCTGAACCGCGCCGGGTTCAGCGTGTGCCGCTTGGACGGCCGCATGACGCCTGCGCAGCGCGATGCCGTAATTCGCACGTTTATGACGCGACCTGAGTACACCGTGTTTCTGGTCAGCCTCAAAGCTGGCGGCGTTGCGTTAAATCTGACTGAGGCCAGCCATGTGTATCTGGCCGACTGCTGGTGGAACCCAAGTGTCGAGGTGCAGGCCATGGACCGTATCCACCGTATGGGCCAGTACCGCCCTATCAAAGTCACGCGTATTATCATTGACAACTCGATCGAATCTCGAATCGTTGCCCTGCAGGTCAAGAAGCAACTGCTAGTTAGCTCAACTATTGGCCGCGACAAAAAGTCGCTGGACCGTTTGTCTGAGCAGGACATGGGCTTTTTATTCTCTTCTTAAGTTTATTAAACATTAGGCCACTGTGGTTGCAGTTGCAATTAGCGTGTTATGGCTGTGCTTGACCATGAAGCAGCGTTTGCCCATACTCATCCATGATATTTCGATTACGTGGCTCGACTGGTCCCAGACATTGCGAACGTATGCCAGCGCAGGTACCGGCATATGCGCTTCATCGTATGCACGCCGTGGCCAGAACGCCCGGGCAAACACACCGCCCGTATGCTCATCTCTCACACACACAACCACAGTGTGTACACGAAGCCGCTCAGCTGTTGAGTGCGAGTACGGCGCATGTGTAGGTCGCAGCCGAACCAGCTCCGACGCCGTCGTATGCTCGTCATATATAATGAGCGTGTCTTCGGCTTCAATAAACTCGAGCGAGATTCCGCGTCGGACAATTCCAAACAGGTCACGAATAATGATGCGCTCTGTGTTTCTCCCCTCATCTACATAAGATGTTGTCGCATGCAGGGCAAGCGTGCATTGAAGCTGGTGAGATCCGGGTTGAATCGGAAACACGAATCTCCTTTGTTGCGCGCCCTCGAGGATATAAATTGTGGTGACATGGCTTGTGTCGTGGCTGGTGATAAGCACATGAGCTGCTGCAAACGCCGCAAATGCCGGCACCACAGTCTCGCCTTCGCGGGAAAAACACCGGAGGTTGTATGTGGGCGTCGGAGTACGAGGCACACACCCAACTGCTGCAGAAAGAAACAGGTTTCGAGGAAACCGCGAGTGCCGCGACATTTCATGCATTCGCTCATCGTTTGAAATGCTGTCGAGGATGTAGATACTTGTGCGCACCCCGTCGTACGCTCCTGTTCCAAACAATGACACAACGTAGTGTCCCGCCATATTATTTTTATTAACTGTTTTAGATGGAAAGGAAGGAATAATATTTGTAGTACACCGATACTATTTAGACCAGACTGGATGGATTGCTCATTTCCAGAGACATTTATTGTTTCCGAACCATGGGTTGTCATATACTGACTGGATTTTGTATTTTTAGCAGGTGTTTACATATTTGCTAAAAATAGACATTGTTGTTGGTCTGTTACATGCATGGAACACATGTGGAATGTATATTTCTTCTACGTAGAAATGTTGCCTTGAATAACCGTTACCGCATGTCCTGAAATAACCACTGTATCAGAATCGGGCATCTCAATCAACATACGACCTCCTCTGCGCGAACACTGGTGCGCACGAATACGCTGCATGCCAAACAAGGAAGAGAACAGTGGAGCAATAATCGTGTGGGCCGATCCCGTCACTTGGTCCTCATCGAATCCCGCGTTATTAATATGGAATACCCGTGCAATGCTGTCGGTGTCGTCGCGCTGACTACGAGCAACAAACACTGCCGCTCGCATGTTGAGCGCAAGAATCTCTCGAGAGGTATCCGCTGAGGGTGCAAAGTCCAGAGCGGCAAACTTTGTATCGTCCACTCCGTCCAAAAGAATAACCAGGTCATTTGCGCGCGGTGCATAGTAGAATACTGCTGTTTTGATATCTGCCACAGACAAACCAGTAAACGCATGGAGCACCGTACGATACGCACTAGGCGGTTCTGTCACAACTGTTGGAGGACTACTAGGAAACTGCAGCACAATCTCATCTGCACTGCCTTTACTTGCACTTAACACGCCTGCCGGTAAGTCAAACTTGATAGATGTGGCTGGCAATTTCAGGATGTTCAGCAAAACATGTCCGGCCGCCAGCGTTGCGTGTCCGCAAAATGCAGCTTTTGCGGTTGGGTTAAACCACAGAAGCTTATACGATGCTTGATCACCGCTCTGTGCCTTGACAAATGCTGACATTGGAAGGTTCACCTCGCTTGCAACATTCTGCATAGTTGTCTCGTCCATGTCCTTGTCGTGTGGAATCACTACCACCGCTGCTGCATTGCCACCAAACCTGACAGTAGTGAACGCGTCAACGACATATATTTCAAAAGTAGGCATCCTGTTTAAACAAAATAATGACTTGCAGTATTGCTCAGCTAAGGAGATATTTTTTAGACAACTTGTAAGTTTTTATTTATGGGCGTTAGTTATTGTAAAGTGTTAGTCATTAATAAAAGGAGTCATTTTGTCTCCTTGTCCTTGATTGGCACAGTCGCATTGTCAGTGTTAGACTCGACGTTATTGGATGTCTCATATTTTCACGCTGCAATATCCGCCATTAGCTTGCGATACGTGTATAGACCAGTATTGTAATAAAAAAGTGTTTGAGAAAAGATGGTGTCGTTGGTGAAGCAAACAAAATGATTGGCATACTCTAGCACTATTAAAACAAATTGCAGATTCTGTAAGTCAGAGTACCTTCCCGATGATGGGATCTCCAGTCGTCGACAAAAGAGATGGCTCGGCGACAGATATGACTTTGAACAAAAAACATCTAATCGCGTTGCTTTCACAAAGGCAAAAAAAACTCCAAAAAGAGGGCTCAGCCGGGAATTGAACCCGGGACCTCGCGCACCCAAAGCGCGAATCATGCCACTAGACCACTAAGCCCATAAGCGAGTTTAAACTAAACAGCTTTTGTATATACTGGTACATTTAGCACAGTATATAAGGAAATGCATTTCATTGTAGAAAGAGAAAAGCAATGGGTTTTTTTGATTACTGTGTCAAATCCTTATTTCAAGGGTCGTCGTGTAATTGCCGGTAGTTTATCAAAAAACTGTAAATATTGGCGGTTTAAATATATATTCTCATTGCTAAATTAATGCGTCGCCATGGAAAGTTATAGTTAAATATTTTATAAAGATAAACAACGGTGACATGTTTGGCATACATACCACAACACAATTTTAGTAGATTAGTTGCAGTGCATATGCCTAGCCGACTAGTGAACTAAAAATAAAGCAACCCCAAACCGCAATCCAATTAACAAACAAGTTGCTGCACTGTGGCCGGAATTGCACACATCGAGCATTGTGGACAACACATTTGAACAAAGGAGATGCCACACGTGAGGATAAGGGATGGAAGAAATGGCGGAGAAATGTTTTTTTTGATATCGACGCCTGAGACCCAAGGCAGTAAAGAAAAATCCGAAAAATTCCCATGCCTTTATTAATTCCTCGGCACTCTAGTGTTATTGTACGTGGTACTTTTTAGAAACACAACACATACTTTTAGCCTTTAAAGCCTATTTTTTAGTATTAGAGTTTGTTCTGTGTATGTGTAACTGGTCATGTCGGCAGATAGCGACATTATTATCAAAGCAGCGCTAGGAGCGGGACTAGTATGTGCGTTCTTTTTTTGCGGGGCGGTGTTCCTTATATACTTTCATGTAGAGTGCTGGCCGCGGCCCCGGGTGCAACGACTACGGGTGCGGCCTTTCTATGCCGGGTGGACGCTGGGACCAGCCAAGCGGAGCGTACGAGTGCTGACAGATGAGGAGATTGAAGAGGGCTTTCCTGCGCATGGATGCAACGACACTAGGGTGTGTCCGGTGTGTCTGGACGACATGGCGTGCGGACAGATGGTTCGTGGATTCGAGTGCAAACACTGTTTCCACGTGCAGTGCATCGATCCATGGCTGAGCACCAACGCGAGCTGCCCGTCATGCCGCAAACAAATCAAACTGCCTCACGGCGCAAAAGCGACTTAGCTTATTTTGTGTACAACTATATTTTAAATGTTTGGAATAAACAGACTATAATTTATGGAAAACACCCTACCGCAAAATAAACATTTGTACATAGGGATCAGTGGGCGTAGGGATCAGGTGTTTTGGCGTGGCGAACATTGGTAGCGCTGACGCTCTTTTGGCGGCTAATGGTGTGTTTGCCCCTGCTTCTGCTGTGGTGGGCGTACGGGTCCGGCGGAGCGTCATGGTTGTAGTTGGTTCTGCTGGAGCTGGGGCCGTGAGGCACACGATGCGCGTCGCTGCTGGATCTGTGGCGGTACTCGCCGTTATGGTGCTGGCGGTGCTCCGAGTTATAATTCTGGCGGTGCTCGCCGCCCGAGTAATGATACTCGCTGCCGGAATAATGCTCGCTGCCAGAGTAATGGTGCTGCTCGTTACCCGATTGGCGGTGCTGGCCATAGTCATGGCGACGGCTGTTCGTGCGGCGGGCGCCAGTGGACTGGGCGCGGGCATTGTACTCGGCATCCTCGTCAATCTTGATCTTGATAACAGTGGCCAGCGCAATACCGCCAATGGTCTCCATATTGTCGTCAGGACCAAGCGCACCCAGCTCAGCCTTGCGCTCGAGCAGATCGCTGGCCTCCGACATTGCCAGCCCCATAACCATCTGGTCGTGGTGCAAGTCGGGCGGCACTTGCAAATCAGACGTCTGCAGCTGGTGCACCATGCGACGCTCGCTCCGCAACGCCTTGATTGCTGCGGCACCGCCCAACGTCTGTGCGGTGGCGTGGCGAAGATCCATGTTCTTGTGGTACACATGCCGGTAGTAGTGCTCGGCCACCACTTTTTGCACCGCGCTCGAGTCGTCAAAGCTGCTGAGCACGTCGCCGTTGTCATCAAACTCGAGGTCGCGCGTGCGCCCGCCGCCTGAGCTCTTGAACAGCCCACCCATGATCTTGCCCAGCACTTTGGTCACCATGTCGCCACTGCCGCCGCCATTGTTGTTGGATCCCATTTGGCCGCTTGGCCGCCCAAACTGCGAGTAGCTGGGATTGGGCCGCCCGCCACCGCCGCCGCCGCCAAATGGACCCTGTCCGTAACCACCACCTCCTCCGTAACCGCCTCCATGGCCTCCGCCTCCGTAACCATTACCACCTCCATGACCATTTCCATGGTTATTTCCGCCGTTTAGGAGCCCCATCGCCATGGGAGCGCCAGTAGCAACAGCGCCAATAATCTTGGCCCACGGAATGCCACCACTGCTGCCCGAATTGCCCTGGTTTCCATATCCGCCAAACGAGCTATTCTGATTGTACCGGCCAGGCCGTCCTGGCCCGTGCTTCTTATTCTTCATCATGCCGTAGGCGTTATGGGCAAACGTCACGTTGTTAAGGTACCGCATCCACTGCGGCTCCTTGAACGGCACCGCATGCTTGGCGCCGCGGTTCTTGTAGTAATGGTACGCGCTGGCGCCCAGCACGCCAGCGATCGGCACCAGCTCCATCAGCTCAATGTGCTTGAGACCTGATTTGAGACACGACAGGAATGTGTTGGGCTTGTCACCGTCGCTCTCGCTGTCGGACCGGTTCACATCGCTTGTCGGCTCGCTGTGAGGCGGCCGCTGTGGGCGTGGTCGTTGCTGCGGGCGCGGTCGTGCATGGGGCGGTGCCTCGGACGGCGCATAGTGCGAGGTGCCAGCGTATGTCTCGTAGTCGGTGGGCCCGGCTGGCCCGTAGTTGGCTGGCGGCCGACCCTGCTGCGGCCACGGCGTTGCTGCCTGCGGATAGCGCCCAGTGTCTCCGTGCGGTGGATACCCGCCGTTGCGGTATCCTGGAGGCGGGCCCATTGTGGTCTCCGAGGCCACGCTGGCTGTCTCGTAGTTGTGCGGCCGCCCCATCGGCACAGGCCCTGCCAGATTAGGCTCCGACGGTATCATGGGCATATCTTCGCCCGTGTTCTCAACATTCTGCATCCCATGGAAACTGTACGTGTTGGCGTATGGCTGTCCGCCTGTTTGAGGCTGATGGGCCATCTTTAGTTTTTAAAAAAATCGCTAGTCAGCAGTCAAGTAAAATGAACAAAGAAAATAAAAAGTAAAGGAGAAAAAGTACGTCTTTATGGCTGCGTAAATGCTTTTTTTGTTGGGCAAAGTGTGTCCTCGTGCTGGCCAAAAGAAAGAAAAAAGCAAATGCAGCTTAATAAAGAAGAAAGAGTGAACATCGCTTTCACTCCTTCATTGGCAGAACAATGACAGCCTCTCTCTGCGTCAGAGAAGGGGGGCCGTACATCACACGGCATGTCTTTCAAATGCCCCATGTGCTGCAAATAACAGGCAAGTCCAGCTGACTCAGAAGAGTGCATTCACGCCATTTGGGGTAAATGTGCGTATCAACCATTCCGGAAACACACTTCCGAGATTTGCAAAGACAGCAGCTCCTGCATTTCGCTTTCTTGGCTCTTTTGGCTCTGCAAAAATCAGGGTTTTGTCTTTTAAAGTTTCCACTCGGTTCTCTCCCGATGTCTTGCGGAATCCCCTTTATCTCTATTTCGTATGTGGCGCTCAGGCGCAAGACGTCCTTCTTTAATTATGTATGGCGCTGATAGCCATGTAGTGTATGCTACGTAACCATGGCTCGGGAGAATGGGGTTTAATTCCCCAAAAATGACATGTTCTGCAATCAGTCTTGCCTCTCGTTTTGTCGACATGTCGACATGTTGATATGCTAAAATGTGAAGATGTGGTTAATGTAACGACTCTCCAAGTTGAGCCACTGAGCCGCGACTCGGCTTACCACAGCAATATTATTTTCTCACGATGGCACATGACTGGGGCGGTAGTTGGCCTGTCTGCCACTCGCCTATAAAATATCATCCAACTTTCCCACATTTCTTAACGCTTTCTTACCAACTTGCACTTTTCTTTGCCAAATACCAACCATGTCCACACGCGATTCCAAACTAGTCGATGTCCTGTTTACCAGCGAGTTTGTGCGCGACCAAATTTCCGGCACATATTCGGCGTACAACACAGACCAACATGGATCACCAAAGCATGAAAGTGTTTACGACAAATCCACGCTTGCTAAACTAAAGCAGCGTGAAATCCACGCCGTTGCTGCTGCTGAACAGGGCCAAGTCGATGATGCAATTAAGCAACTAACAGACATTATTGTCGAGTATCCAAGCTATGCATCGGCATACAACAACCGTGCTCAGGCGTACCGTCTGCAAGATGCTAGTTCAAGCAGGGTTATTGCCGACTTGGATTGCGCAATAAAGTGTGCCCACGACGATCAGACGCTTGGGCAGGCATATACGCAAAAGGCAATTGTACTCAAGGCGCTAGGCAACCAGGACGATGCGTTCTTTAACTTTTCGCAGGGCGCAAAATGTGGCAACTCGGTGGCCAAAACTGCAGCGTCAAAAGAAAACCCATATGCCAAGTTGTGCGGGCAGATGGTTTCGCAGGCAATGAAACAACTGCACACACCTTCTAGGGATTAGTTTATTTAAATTAAATAAAGAATAAACCGCACGAACAACAACAACAATTAATATAAAAGATATGTGTAAATGCAAGGGCGCTTTAACAAAACAGCATTTGGTTCAATATTTGGCCGCAATAAAACAGAAAAAGACTAGTAGTGGTAGCTGTGATGCGCGTGTCTGTCTAGAGCTGGAGGATGCTGCTGGTATCCGCCAACAGCCGGCACATACGTGCGAGCGTAATCATTCTGAGCGTAACTAGTTTGAGTGTAATCATTCTGAACGTAACCAGCCTGGGCATAACCATTCTGAACATAATCTGCCTGGCTGTACTCTCCATGGGAGTAACCAGTCTGACCGTGGCCAGGATAGCTATATGCAGTGGTTTGATTAGCATGGCCGTATGCAGTAATTTGGTCGGCATGACTGA